ACGAAGCAAAAATGGAAAGAAACAGAGGTGTCCTGTATGTGAAGGCACTTCCATAGGAAGAATATCCTACGTGCTCATTACCCAGTGCTTCATGTGGCTGGTTCTGAAATAGGAGCTATCTGATTTGTGGTAGGGATGATTTTTTTAAGTATCTTTTATATATTGAATATGAGTGTGTGTATTCCAACTTGTGTCAAAGTCATCTCTGATTTCTTTTTTTTTTTCCTTTTCCCGCCACCTAGTAAAGGGGAATATGCCATGCAGATGGTTAGAGTTGCTGGCAAATCCAAATGTCCTCTTCTAAGTGCATCACTACAGTGCAGTCGGGCACACTGCAAAGCCTTCTCTGGCAGTATGTCCTCCTTCACGCTGTGCTCCTCCACATGCCTCGCTACGGCTTCTGAGCACAGGTCTCTTTGTGCAGCACTGAGCTGAGTGATGAGTCCTTTCCACTGAGTTGGGGAAAACTTGTCCCTCTCAGACGTGTGAGAGGAATGCACTGAAGGGACTCCAGCACTTCAGAGAGGACACGGGCTTAGGCACTGAAAAGTGGATGAGTTTCTAGCCTGAATGAAAACAGAACTAAGGCCTTAGCCTCATGCCCTCAGCTGACCCAGTTCGCTTGAGTTGGAAGCACCACTTTGGATGGGAGAAGGGTTAGCAAAACACCCAAGCAAGAGCCTGGGCTAGTACTGCAGTGAAGACATGCCCCGCATTGTTGCTAGTGTCGGGCCCGGGATAGTGACAAAGAGTTCTGATTGCTTTTCCTTTTGAACTTGGCCCTTGTGACGCACATGCTTGAGGGCTGGGTTCTTTCAAGCAGCTCCCTGGAAACTTCCCCCCCACCCCTCCTGAGTTGGCAGGATGTAGTTTATTTTGAGCCTGTTAGAGCCATTGAGTCTGAACTCAGCCATTTCCCCTTGCCAGGAACTGTCTTGCACAGTTAAACCGTGTGATGTTAGTATTGAAGAAAGGGACTTCACACTCATCTCCAGGGCAGGTGGTGGCCTGTCGGAAGTGAAGCTGGACGGTAGAAGGTGTCTAGCCATTGCTGCTTTGGCTCCAATAAGAGGAGTGGGGTGGGCAAACAGTGTCCTGTTTTCTGATGGGGGTTGAATATGACTGGGTTGTCTGCAACCCCAGGGGCTGGACTTGAAAACCCAGGAGGTTCCTTCCAGTTTGGCGTTCCTAGAGCCAGTTGCCTCGTGTTCCTCCAGCCATCCCCCTTTGCCCCAACTTACCAGGACCCTGTTGAGGGGCAAATGAGGTATTCAGTCTGCTGGTTTCTTTCTCTATCTCCAAGCAGCCAATTCCTGCCAGTTGTGACGTGGGCAGCTGTTGAGTAGGAAGCATCCAGAAGCACTGCTGACACTCCCTTGCTTCATTTGTGCCAAAAAGTGTTTGCATTCTTTTAAACATTGCTGCTGTCTGTGACTTTTTTTTTCTTCCTGTCCTTGTCTCTTGAGTGAACAGCACCAAGTAATCTCAATTGGCTGCTTTTCAGAGAGCCTGCCTGCTAACTGCCCAGGATGCCTTTGTGTCACCTCCGTGCCTGGTACACAGTGGTGATTGCCAGGGCAAAAAGGCTCCCTCTCTGGGTTTCCTCATCACACTGACTCCATACTGTCCCCATGCTGAGTCTGGAGCAGTGACTCCTCTGTCTGCATGTGCGGAGATGCGCAGGGGGGCTGTTGGTATTCTTTTGTTGCTTCCCTTTGCCATGATAGGCAGGCCTTGTGTACATACCCACAAACCACGATTATGCAGGCAGCTGCCTTTTTAAAATGCAGATTTCTGGTTTTGATAGGCTGTTTCATGGTGCTAATGAATTTAGCCTCGCATGGCTATTACACTGAGTGACAAGAAGGGCACCTGGGAGGTGAAGTTGCATTGTCCTCATGTTATAGAGGGGAAACTGAGGTACCAGAATACTGTGGAACTTGCCCAAGGTTGCACAGGCGATCTGTGGCAGAGTTGAAAACCAAAACCTAGGTCCAGAATTGCAAGTCAAGCCCCACCTCCGTGCCCCCTCCCCATCATGAAGATGCTTTTAAATAAAGGGGGAAAGCCCACAAGTTTTTTGTTTTTTTTTAAATGATGCAGTTGGGGTTCTGCCCCATTGCCTTCTGGAGGCTGAACCCAGAGGGTTGTATTGTTAAACTGTTGTCAGCTGCAGTTAGAAATGGGGTTATCGGATAATCACAGTACTCGACTGCAGCTCTCAGCTGAATACTGAACTTGGCATAAAATCCCAAGTTAACAATGCTGCAGGTCAGGGGGCCCACCCATTGCATAACCCGCAAGACCATTCGACTTTGTCGCCACACATTTTTAGCTGTAGCGGAGACCAGCTCTGGAATTCATCTCCTGCAGCCTGTTCAAGTGACAAGCAAGCTCTCTTTCAAACGGCGCGTGCAGCAATGTGAGGTCTTGTGGGAGTTTTGTGATTGTGTGCACAGTCCTGCTCACTTTGCATTTCATTAACCCCCTCGCAACCTCATTGCCAGGGCCTGAGAGTGCTGCTGTGATAATTGCATGCTAAGTGGGTACATAAACCAATGCATGCTTGTGTGCCCTTTTTGGAAATAAAATATCAGTGTTGAAAATCCCTAAGCAGGATGTGAAGCCAACTGCTATTTCCCAGTTTCTGCCTGCCCAGTTGTCCCTTCCCTTGCTCTGGTCGGTCAGGTTTGTTAATACTGAACTCTTTTCGTTCTGTGGGAGGGTGGGCAGTGAGGAGGTTCCAGCCTGCTGAGTTTTCTGGCCAAGTGTGATGTGTGCTGAAATGCAGGCCAACCTCATTATACCAAAAACTCGCTTTTAACAGGCCCATCAGCAGGAACTGATTTCTTTTCTTTTTAATTAGGATGATGCCTCAGATTGACTAACCTAATTGTAGTGAACACTCTTCTAACAAGATTTTTCTCCCCATCCCATAACTAGCTCAGACCCTGCTAGTAGTGCAGCTGCTGCTGCCTGGTGCCCAGCACACCCAAGAAGCTGAGTAATCTCTGGGTAGTTAGCGTGCCCAGCATCCTATGCTGGTGCAGGCCTTTGGCAAGCAGTGAGCTACCTGGTTGAAAGAGCAGTGTATGCCCTCTGACTTGCATTGGATGATGCTCCTTCTAAGCTCTTGCATATCCACAGCCAGCTGCGATTCCTTTTCCCTGCCCCTTCCCCTGTGTCTGCTAGTGCCTGTTGGATAAAGCTTGCAAGTGCCATGGGGCACAGGCTGCTCACACATGGCAAAGCGTGGACAGAACCTTTTTCATCCACCTTCTGCCTGTGCAAATCGGACCCTTTGTTCTGCCTTGTTTGGCTGGGGAGGCTGCCAGACCCCTTTGGGCAGAAGTGTGCTGCCTCTTCCAAGGGTTCCCTCTCATCATCCCTTGGGAGCAGAGCGTGGCAGGCCAATTTTTTGGGTGGGTGACAGCACGCTGTGTCCCTGTTACCATGGCACTGGCCTAGCACAGACCCTGGTTAGTATCCCTGCTGTTTTTGGACTCTTGCAGGTCCTTGGAATAGGTGGGAACTTCATGGCTCTTGCAACCCCAGAGATCCACTTGCTCTCCCCAGCCCAAGGGCGAGGTGCTCCTCCACTCCTAAAGAAGCTACTGTGTGGGATCACAGGTGTGGAGACCCGAGTTACCTGGCGAGATGCTGTGACCCTGTCAGCACAAATGAGTACAAGTTGAGCCGCCTTTGTGTTGCATTGTATGTCGCGTGGGTTAGTCCAGGATTAATCCTGCTCAGGCTGAATGATCACAATAGGGTTTGGCAGTAAAGGCCAGTTTGTCTTCCTGAGGGCACTTAACAGTTGAGCCACAGTGAAGCTAAATTGCCTCCCAATTCCCAGTGAAGAACCATGCCTGGACTATTCTCTTTTCCTGCCTGATGTTCCTAGCTGTCCTGTTCTCCATAGCTCCAATTCAGCACCTCTTTCCTTATCATCACCTCTGCAGTCCCTTTTTGTCATCCCTGTTTGCCCAGATTTTTCATAATCCTCCATGGCATTGATTTTCCTCCTGCAGCTGGGGACCCAGCTCTAAGGCAGTATCTAATTGCAGGCTGTTCAAAGAGGAGTGTCACCTCTCTGGCCTCTCAGGTGATAACCTTCTGAGCATGGCAGCAGGAGCTTGTTTACTTTTGGTTTTGTAACAGCTACAGCTGCACATAGGTTTCTGATAAGCCTGTCTGATAAGCCAGGGTTAAAGCAAATAACTAGCATGATGGAGGGGCTGCTGGCCGTGGCAGGGTGGGCAGGGGAAGGAGAAAGGATCTTTGGAAATAATGTTTCCATGATCAGGAAATAGCATCTTGCTTAGCTTTTGCATGCAGCCTAAAGCAATAGAGGGGCATTGGTATTGCTAGTAGTGAGGATGGCTAATAGGTTGGTCAGAGCTGGGTGGCAAACTCATTTCTCCTCTATAAGCAAAGATAAGGCCATTGCTGAGAGTCACGGTTGCTTCAGCCCTAAATCAGGACAACCAGAGTGTCCCATGGTTCCCAAATGGATGTGCATGTTCAGCCTTTCACTTCAATAAAATACCAAAAATGAAACCAAATAGGCAGCGTGGAGGGCGGGGGAAGCGCAGCCTTCCCTCTGCTGTGAACAGGGAATCAGCAGCTGGAATCAGCCTTGAACAGAAACAAAGGAGCCACATGCAGCTCCCGCAGGCAAAAAAGACCCCAGCTGTCTCTGGAGCTTCAGGGGCTGCTCTCTGTTATTTCCTGTTGGATGCCACTTCCCCCTGTTCCCAGCCAGACACGTGGTCTCCACCCTGCTCCCATCCAAAGCAAGGTTTCTAATATAATCTATGTTGTCCTGAGCTCTCGGTACCTTTTGGCATCAAAAAGCCCATCCCTCAGCAAGCAGTTGTGCCCATTTGAGCAATCGCAGAGCAGCCTATGATGCAGTCCCCTGTAATGACTGCATCCCATTCATGCTAGTAGTTTCCTGCTACTAGTTTTTACCACAAGACAGCAAGGAGAGAGACTTTGCAGCACACCAGCTGGCTGCAAGCTTAGAACAAGTCCATGGTTTGGCTTTGGCAGAGCAAAATACAGTCGCTGCCAATGGATCTGGTTCAAAACTCTCTGAAAATCTCCCATTGCAAATGGGATTTGAATGCAGTGGTATTTAAGGCCTCTCCCAGATGAGTCCTGCCTCCCAGCAGCTCCCTTCCTCCACCCCGAGAGTCCTGACAAACTTCCTTTTCATCCTGTGTCTGCAGCACAAAGCCAATGCATGAAAAAGCAGCTTCCCTGAAGAGCTCCCAGCCCATGCACAATCGGGAGAAGCTGGAGGCATCTCATAAGGAGAAGAGCCTGGATTCCCTGGATGGCAGGTCAGCTCTCAGATCAGTTGGCTCAATTAGATCTGGTCACAGATGGAAATCTGGAATCATTTCAGCTGTGGTCAGCTGACTGTGCACAGGGAGTTTCACATTAAGGGCTGGTGTTGGACAGCTTCCCACCAGATGCGTGGGACCTCTTGCATACTCAGTGCAGTGTGCTTCAGCCAGTGCGGCCACTGCACTGCTGACCACATAACTTCTCTCTGGCTATGTTCTCTGTTTTCTGCTCCCACAGACCCTGGGCATGCACTGCTCTGCGGTGTCCCTGCCACGTTAGAGCAGCATTAACAAGCTCAGAACAGCAGCCTTGTTATGAACCCTTGGGACCAGCTGGGCTGGGTGTATCAATTGCTGCAGACGGCTTTCTGGCAGCCTTCTGAATTTGAGCAGGGCTTTCTAATCCTGCTCTTTGCAGGAGTCTAGTGTCTGATATGCTGGAGATCGGCAAAAGGCTGAGAGACTCTGCTGATCCAGGCTGGGCCTGAGGTTCCCTGTCATGTTTGTCCTCTTTTGTGTGCCTGTTTCCAGTGAAAACCCCCTCTGCCCCTTGAGTCAGAAATGAAGCTCAGCAGGTAGGAAGTCCCTGGAGGAATTCCATGAGAGAATCCCAATCACTAGGATGGGATACTAGACGGACAAAGTAAGTGAGGGTTTCCTTTAGCTCCGGCCCTGGTTCCCAGCAGCATCCGGACTTCTCATTGTCGGCAGACTCCAAAGCAAGATGAACCTAAAGAAGTCTGTGTTCCATCAGACCTAATGGTCCATCTGCTCTGAAATCCTGTCTCTGACAGTGGCAAATGCCGGGTGGTTCATGGGTGTAGGTGGTTCATGCTCATTTCCTACTGTAATGCCTTTTAAATAGCCACTAATAAACAGCAGGGGGAAAGGTACATCTACACTGCCATCAAGTGTATGACTGCAGCTTGTGTAGTTAGATCTGAGCTAACTTGGGTACCAGCAGCAGTGTAACCACAGCAGCTCAGAGCTCAGCTGCCCTGTGCTGGGGGTACCTCTCTTGTATGTGCTTTGTAGGGCTGGTGGGCTTTTCACCTGACTAGATTCTCTCTCTTGCAGTCTGCATCTGAATGAAGGTCTGAAGGATGAGGAAGTGAAGAAATGCCACAGAGAAGTGGTGAGTTAGTTTGGGGAAAGCAGGGGAGGAATGATTGCTATATTTGAACTTTCCACTGCCCACAGTGGCCTGCGACATGCAGATCGGAGGTTACTACCTCACTGCCAATGTGGTCATTGAGGATCTCTGCCTTAATGCTGAGCAAATGCATCCGTGTCTGATGGACCAAAAACTTCTGGGATTTGATTACTAGACAGCATCTCCCAATGTGCCTAAGTCATACAAGTAGCAGTGTCTGAGTCCAGTCCTCCTAGGTCCTCTGCAGATCTACCCAGAACAGTTTGGGTATTAACTTTTTGTGTTTCCTGTCAGTCAGTACCAATTTAAGTGCCATTTTTCCTTTTGGTTAACAAAGTCAAGTGATGATAAAATGGCACTAAACCAGCCATAAGGGATCTTGGCTCAAAAGGCAGTAAGAACAGGCATGCAGAAGAAAATATATCTCACACTTTGCTCTGAGAGGATAATATCCTACTTCGTTAAGAGTCCAGCCAGTCCAGACACCCCTTGGCTTCCACTTCTGATCAGAAAATGTGTCTGATGGTGCCTGCAGCACAGTGCACATATGAACTCAGAGCTGCTCTTTCTGAGGCAGCCCTGTTGATTCACCATAGCCTTGTCTCTCTCTTCCACCTCGCAGCACAATAGGGTTAAATATGAAGATGCTTGTCCGCACCTTTCCCTGGTAAACTGAATGACCGAATTGCTGAATGTACTTATCTCAGTTCCAGTCAGGAAACTTTGCTTTCAAAAACTTGCTTATTGGGTCTGAAGTGTCAGCAGAGAGAAAATGTACATGGCCAAGGCTGAGATGCCGCACAGTACAGGAGGAATACCAGCTGAAACCATATTGCAATACAGCACACCAAATAAACCAGCTTGCGCTAGGCAGCCTGATAACCTGTGAAGCTGAGAGCAGGAACTCTGTTTGTAAGGTCACTGTGAGCAAACAATGCTCTCAGCCCTGCAGTTCACCCTTTCTGTGGGTCACGGAGGAGGAGAGAGGGAATAAGGGAAGGGAGGTGGTAGGGGAAGGGGCAAAGCTGTTGCTAATTAATTGCCTGTATCTCTGTCAGGGTTCAGGCCTCTGTAGTAGGGTGTGGTAGGAAACTCTAGGAGTTTGTGTTTATGTGAGACATGAGCTCTCTGCAGGATCACTGATACCCTCTGTGCACAAAAAGGGTAAAACCCCTTAAATGGGACTTTTGTCAAGAGGTTGTGTTCAGGTGAGGTCCCAGACAGAGGTGTTCCAGCCAGTCAGGCCAACAACAGAGCATCCCAGTCCCAGATGGAGGAAACTTGGAGTGAATGTTACAGCTTAATGAGATCATTACCTTGCTGTTCACAGCTTGTCAAAATTGTCATAGCTGGAGACATTCCCAGGGCATGTGGCAGAAGGAGCCTTGTGACACCTTGTCTCTCAGGGTTCCTGGAGGCTGAGCCTGGAGCCATCATGGTATAATCAGTAGGAGCGACATGTGCTCCAGGTGTTTAACAAGCTCAGACATCTTGGAGAAGAGTGAATGATAACTAGCACAGCTGCTGCAGTGCAGATGGTACTGGTGTAACTATGTCCTGAGGTAGTGTTACAACAAGGCAGTGGGGCTCTCCTCGCTGGCCCAACACTTGGAAAGCACTCTGTCCAAATTTGCAGATGACATAAAACCGTGGGGTGAAGTAAACACACTGATGGGAAGAAACCGAATCCAGGCAGACCTGGACAGTTTAGAGAAGTGGGCAGAGAACAATAGGATATGTATAGATGGCTATACCCTGTACAGGAGGGATCGTGTAGAGAAAAGGGGCGGGGGCGTAGCTCTCTATGTTAAGGAAAGCTACACGTCCCTGCAAGCCGATATTGGCGACCAGGGTGGACGGCTGGAGACCCTCTGGGTTAAAATCCGTGGGGAACACGGCACAGGGGACACAATGGTGGGAGTCTACTACAGACCTCCCACCCAAAGTCCTGAGCTTGACCAGGAGTTTGCCCGGGAACTGGCTGAGGCCGCATGCTCCAGGACCATGGTTGTCATGGGTGACTTGAAATTCCCAGACATCTTGTGGGAGGATCGCTCAGCAAAATCTGAGTGGTCGCAAAGCTTCCTCTCGTGCGTGGATGACCTCTACCTGACTCAAGAAGTCTATGGGCCAACGAGAGGCAAAGATGCTGACTTCGTGAAGAAACATCTGGAGAAGCTGGATACCTTCAAGTCAGGCGGCCCTGACAATCTTCACCCGAGGGTACTCAAGGAGCTGCCGAGCATCATAGCCCAGCCTCTAGCGTGGATCTTTGAAAACTCTTGGCGCTCTGGTGTAGTGCCCGAAGACTGGAAGAAGGCCAATGTGGTGCCTATCTTCAAGAAAGGGAGGAAAGTGGATCCGGCTAACTATAGGCCCATTAGCCTGACTCCTATCCCGGGGAAGATCTTAGAAAAGTTTATTAAAGAGGCCATCCTTAATGGACTGGCCGACGTCAACATCTTAAGGGATAGCCAGCACGGGTTTGTTGCGGGTAGGTCTTGCTTGACCAATCTCATTTCCTTCTACGACCAGGTGACCTATCACCTGGACAAGGGAGAAGAGATTGATGTCATATATCTTGACTTCAAAAAAGCCTTCGCTCTGGTGTCCCATGATCGCCTCTTGGAGAAACTGGCCAATTGTCGCCTTGGGTCCTCCACGATCCACTGGCTGGAAAATTGGCTCCGGGGTCGGACCCAGAGGGTAGTAATTGATGGAAGTCACTCATCGTGGTGTCCTGTGACCAGTGGGGTCCCCCAAGGCTCTGTCCTTGGACCCATACTGTTCAACATCTTCATTAATGATGTGGACACGGGAGTCAGAAGCGGCCTGGCCAAGTTCGCCGATGACACCAAACTTTGGGGCAAAGCATCCACACCAGAAGACAGGCGGGGGATCCAGGCTGACCTGGACAGGCTCAGCAAGGGGGCGGACGAGAATCTGATGGTGTTCAAAGCCGATAAATGCAAGGTGCTCCACCTTGGGAAGAAAAACCCGCAGCATCCTTATAGGCTCGGCAGGGCTGTGCTGGCTAGCACTATGGAAGAAAGAGAGTTGGGGGTCATCATTGACCACAAGATGAACATGAGCCTGCAGTGCAATGCTGCGGCTAATAAAGCGACCAAAACGCTGGCTTGCATCCATAGATGCTTCTCAAGCAAGTCCTGGGACATCATTCTCCACTCGTACTTGGCCTTAGTGAGGCCGCAGCTGGAGTAATGTGTCCAGTTTTGGGCTCCACAATTCAAAAAGGATGTGGAGAAGCTTGAGAGAGTCCAGAGAAGAGCCACGCGCATGATCAGAGGTCAGGGAAGCAGACCCTACGATGACAGGCTGAGTGCCCTGGGGCTCTTTAGCCTGAAAAAGCGCAGGCTCAGGGGTGATCTGGTGGCCACCTACAAGTTTATCAGGGGTGACCACCAGCATCTGGGGGCCCGTTTGTTCACCAGAGCGCCCCAAGGGATGACGAGGTCAAATGGTCACAAACTACTTCAAGATCGTTTCAGGCTGGACATAAGGAAGAACTTCTTTCCTGTCCGAGCCCCCAAGGGCTGGAACAGCCTGCCACCGGAGGTGGTTCAAGCGCCTTCATTGAACACCTTCAAGATGAAACTGGATGCTTATCTTGCTGGGATCCTATGACCCCAGCTGACTTCCTGCCCTTTGGGCGGGGGGCTGGACTCGATGATCTTCCGAGGTCCCTTCCAGCCCTAATGTCTATGAAATCTATGAAGGATGCGGTTCAACAAGGACAAGTGCAAGGTGCTGCACCTAGGGGAGAGGGAATCGCCAGCACATCTATAGGCTGGGGGATGACCTTTTCAGCAACACAGTAGCCGAAAGATATCTCCAAGTCATTGTTGGCTCCAAGATGAATATGAGTTGTCAATGTAACGAAGTCATTTGCAGAGCTAACTGCACTTTGTCATGCATTAGTAGGTGCATCACGAACAGGTCCAGAGGGGTGATACTTCCCCATTGCACTGGTCAGGCCGCAGCTGGAGTACTGCGTCCAATTCTGGAGGGGCCACTCGTATGGTTAGAGGCCTGCAAGGAAGGCCCTATGAAGAAAGGCTGAGGGACCTGGACCTTTTCAGCCTCCACAAGAGAAGGCTGAGGCGGGGATCTTGTGGCAGTATACAAATTCACCAGGGAGGGGGCAGCAGGGAATAGGAGATGCTCTGTTTACCAGGACACCCCTTAGAATAACCAGGAACAACGGCCACAGGCTGACAGAGAGTAGGTTTAGGTTGGACATCAGAAATAACTTCTTCACAGTTAGGGTTGCCAGAATCTGGAACGGGCTTCCAAGGGAAGTGGTGCTCTCCCCTACCTTGGGGATCTTCAAGAAGAGACTGGACAAGCACCTGGCTGGGGTCACTCTTTCCTTGTCATGGGCAGGGGCTTGGGCTCGATGATCCATTGAGGTCCCTTCCAACCTTAGCATCTATGAATCTCTGAACAGCACCATTGCTCTCTGTGTGCTGGCCAATTCTTGCAGCCAGCTGTCCTCAACAGTGGGGCATTGGCAGTGCCCTTATCTTGTCTGCTTCTAACCATGGAGTGTGATAGGGTGCTGTGGACATTTCTGGTTTCGTGTGTTGTCGGGGTCCAAACTAGTGATTTGGGGGAATCTTTTGCTAAATGGTTGTGGATGCAGGAGGCTGTACTCAGAAGCCCAACAGGGACCTCCTGGGACACTATCAGGCCTGTCTTCCCCATGTGGAAAGCAGAGGAGTTTATGCACATATATGGTCTAGTATTATTTAAAGCTAGATATGACATGATCTCATGGATGTATACAGACACACACATATATAATGTGTGTGTGTATATATGTGTATGTATATATAAACATGCGTGTGTGTGCATGTGTACATTGTGTGTGTGTGTGTGTGTGTGTGTGTGTGTATATATATATATATACACACACACATATACAATCAGCTTAACATTGTATAGAAGCAAACCATGCACTGCAATACAGCTGACACTTGTTTTAATCACAGCAGACTCTAACACTACTAAATAATACAAGACTGGTGAGGTCCTCATAGCTATCCCAGCCCATGCACTAGAGTTTGAGCTCCTCTGTTGCTTGACAAACTCCACATTGACTGAGCAAAGAGCATGTGACAAATTTCCTGGAATGGTCCCATTTAATTTTTCCCTTTCTGCTTAATCTTGTGGAACATAGTCATCAGACATTTATTGAAGCTTCATAGACTTTGACGGAGGTTGCTTCTGCAATTCATGCTCCATATTCTTTAGCCAAAAGTTTGCTGAACAGAAGGTGCGAGCGGGAATCTATTGCTCTTTTTAGAGGATTAGTCAAATAGTTGCTTGTTCATTTTGATTTTAAAAAAAACACCCACCCTTCACAAGCCCCTGGATTTCCTAGAGCTCAGGAGATCTTTGACGGAGCTTCACCACGCACCCCACCACTTGCTTGTTCTCCACTTACAGGCTGAGCTTTTACACAGTTGCCCTGTGACACTTGTGTGCCCTGTTTGGTGTATTGATTTAGGTTTACAGTGCTATTCTGTTCTGCAGAATAGCATAGTGTTTTGCACCTGCTCTCCTTGAGAGCAGGTGCAGTGAGGTCCGTGATCTGGGCACGGTGCCTTCATGCGTGTAGGCAGATGGTGCGCTGACAGTGCCCCGTGGAGGTCTGGATGGGTGAGGGACAGGTGATAAATTAGATGCATCTGCCTCTCTTCCCAGGACTGTATTGCAGTGACTCTGACTGACTACTTTTGGATACAGAGGGTACGTGTAGAGAGAAGCTTTACTTAGAACAGCGTTGTCCAGCTAGTGGTCCTTGAGATGTGTGCAGCCCACAAACGGTTAACAAGTAGCTTGTGGAGCCCAGCGGTCAACTTCCTTGCCACACTGCACAGGAGGGCCCATGGTCCACATGGTGCGGAGAGCCATGTGCTGGGAGCTGCACATGTGTACCCCACGCAGCCTTCTGTTGTGCCAGAGACCGAGAGGCCTGGTTTAGAAGGTCGTGTGCATGGTGTCCCAGTAGGGAGCTTGAAGGACATTCCAGCGTAGTTGTGAGTCACTGCTGTCCTGTGATCCAGTGGGTCATGGTTTTTCTGGTTTGCTTCTGTCAAGACTAGTGAACACCAAGAGCAGGTTGAATAAACAGTGCAGGGTGACGAAAATGAGGAAGAAACCTAGAGCAGAGGACCCTGCTTCTATGAGACGTGAGGCTTTGCTCACCCTCTTGGCATGAGCAACCATGAGCTGGTTGAAGTCCAGTAGTGTTGCCTCAGCTGACCCCAAGGGCTGACTTTGACTCATGATCTCGACCTGTCATATGGAGGCTGACTGAGGAGCCAGCTTCCCCGATGTCTCTCCTTGCCCTGAGCCCCTTTTGAACAGATTGGCTTTGCAGTTCCTTTTCCTGAAATAAATGTAACCCTTCTATGGCCTCGGTCAGGATTTTCTTGAGGGACAAATGGCTGAATTGTAATGCTGAATTGGCTTTCATACTCCAGTACCGCAGTGTGATTGGTTGAGCATGGACATGTTCCTGCTTCTGCCCTTTCCTTATATAAGAACACCGGTTTTCCTGCTCCTTTCAGGAGTAATAGGACAGTCCCAGGCAGCTACCTTTGCAGGGGCCGAGACGGCTCTGCTTCTGTGTGCATCTGAATTATAGCCAGGTCTGGGCCTGCAAATATGGTATAGTCAGGTCAGTTGCTTAGAGGCATGGTTGTATTTTAACAAAATATTTGGAATATTACTGAGAAGTAGCTGGGAGCGTTACAGGCACCAGGCAGAGAGCCATGCTGTTAGAGTCTTTTACACAAGCTGGACATGGGCAGGAAAAGAATGAGATGGAAGTGAGATCCTGGAGTTTCTCAAGGCATGTTCATTCCCCCTCCTTTCAGTGGAGCTGTGCTTCCCTTTGCTTTACACCTCGGTTCAGGTGGGGCAGGGGCTGGTGCTTTACACCTGGGGCAGGGGGCTGGACTCAGTGAGCTTCTGAGGTCCCTTCCAGCCCTAATGTCTATGAACTCTCTCGAGGCAGCTGTTCTGTCGGCCTAGTGCTCCATCTCCTGCCTGACAAGTTGTGGTGGCCCCATCATGCCCAGATCTCAGCATTACTGAAGCCAGTGAGTTTGGCTGGAGGCCGGGGCCCCTTGCAGGGACCTTGACAGTGATTGTGACTTGTCCTCCCAGTGATAGAGGACGAAGGGCAGGCATTTCTGTGGTTCTCTGTTCCCTTGGCTGCCTGTGGGACCACGAACTGGAATGTAGCATTGTCCCAGCTATGAAAGCAAGAGGGGCAGGCATGGGTTGCTAATAAACAGCTTGCTTGCTTTCTGCTTAGGAGCTGCTGTTGTGCAGTGGCCTATCTGGTTCACAGGGGCTCACGTGAGGTTTGTCATGGTTATTTTTACCGTGGCTGCTTATAGGGAGCCTAGTCCTAGGTCAGAGCCCCAGTATAGCAGATGCCAGATAGACACCATACCAAGGGGCAGTTCCCAATTCTGTCACATGGGCTAATGTCTTCCGAGTGTTGCCAATGGAAATGCAGAGCCGGCTTTCCTGTCTGAGCCCATTAGCTGGAGGGAGTAATTGACTTGACTGATGGCGATTGAGATGTAGAGAAGATTAGCTGTCTGAGACTCAGGCCAGGCAAAACTAACTTGATGCTCACAGGATGTCATGGGGAATCCTAAGCTAAAGGGTCAGTTGGACAGTCTTGTAGCAAATCTGGTGCAGAGCAGTGAGTTGCATCTATATATTTCGCTCTTAAACATGGAACTGTTTAAACACCGGCAAGGTGCAGATGGCGCTGGCTGTCAGGCCCACAGGACTGTGCGGTGCCTTTTCCACCTGAGAACACCCATGCTGCTGTTGAATGCTGTTTTCATTGTCACACTCTATTTTTGGTGTCTCTTAAAAACATAAGTATTGCTCAAATGATCTGCCTTGATGAAGGGTGCAAGGCAAGTTTGTCACTGTGTTTGTGAATAAGAGATTTGTTCCCCAAGGGGAAGTAAATGTGATGGGCCAAAAAATCTTGGCTCTGGGGAAAATTGACTTGAAACTCAAATGTTCATTCAGAAATGACCTGAACAAAGGAGCCTAAAGACAATGAGTAGTCTAGGTGTACAGCATTGTCTTCCATTAGCTGAGACTAGAACTGCTCAGCTGTGCCGCTTTGCTAAGAGAGTTTCCAAACAACTCAAGGGTCAGGGCCCTGTGTTTTGGCAGTGGAAGGATGTGGGCTCTATCCCTGCTGCGTCCAAATTCTGAGAGTTTAAGATGCCTGGCACCATGGCAGCCGTACGTGTCCAGGTGCTTCTTGCAACACTGAAATTTAAGTCATTAGCGTGGCTAAAGCTGCCCCTGGAGACCTGTCTGGGGCACCATGCTTCAGGAATCAGAAGAGAGCAG